AGTCCGTACACAATATGACATAATTTCATGCAAGGAACTCAAAACCCAAGACTAGAATAGCTAGTTTCAATTTCCTTCATTTCTACTAGCTAGCCACTGCACTTAGGCAAAGTCGTGAAGTCGTGCTCTTCTCAATGAAATCAGGCAATTACAACCCTTAAAGAAAAAGCAGCTGCAGTCGAAGTCTATGTCGAAGTCTATGTAGTGTTAGCATTAGGCCTGTAAAATCAATTAAATAAAAAGATGAATGATATAGATAAAATCGTAAGGTAAAAAGCTGCTGATTTGCAGGAATGTGTCAGTCTCCGCCAGGCACTCCCTTTTTATCACACTATCAATTAGCTTCTCTCTCAGAGTTTTCATGTGCCAGTTAAAGTTTTCAAGTTCATGTTAGTACTAATATGTTTTGAAGGCACAGGTGTCTCTCTCAGGGTGACTCTACCTTAGAACAAACAAATCTTCCTAAACAAAGGCAACTCTCCTCTGAATTTCTGCTCCAGGTGTGGCCGTGTGAAACTACTTTGTCCTCTATTTATTTGGAAGCCTGAACCGATTCCGAGTTGATGATGCAACTAATACAACAAATCGATTGCAGAACATTAATTGAAAATTCTTCGAGAATAACATTTGATTTTTTTTCAAGTGTCCACATTGAACCATTGATGAAAAATTCAAATTGCCAGAATGGAAACTTCAAGGGGGCAAATGTTGCCCTTTTTGTTCACTGCTGGATGTCCTACACCTAGAAGTGCGTTTGGCTTGTGATAGGGAAGTAAGAACTCAATGAATATGTGTTGAATGAAGAATAAATATAAAAATAACAAAATAATTAAGTGCTTAAAAAATAAAGTCATGGGTCTTTGTATATACTTAAGCAAAAATATGAACAAATGTAAACATTACTTAAAACTTGGGAGACTCTTTGGATTAAAATATTCAAAAATAATGATGCTACAGCTAACATAATGATTGATGTAAAATAAAATTGGACCTCTCCTAATGAAATAAAAGCATTTAAATGATTATATTGTTATTAAAACTTTCCACATTATTTCTTTTCTTTTCTTTTCTTTTCTTTTTTTTTGAGTTGAAGTCTCACTCTGTCACCCAGACTGGAGTGCAGTGGCCGCTCCCGGCCACTGCAGCCTCGACCTGCTGGGCTCTGGCGATCCTTCCACCTGAGCCTTCCAATCAGCCGGAACTACAGGCGCGTGCTACCACGGCCGACTAATTTTTGATTTATTGCATAGATGAGGTCTCGCCAAGTTGCCCAGGCGGGTCTCGAACCTGCGGGCTCAGGCACATTACTTCTCTACATTTCTTTAATGTTTCCCTTTATATGGTGTATTTAATTGCATAATAGTAATATATTTATTTAGTTGGTTGTTTTTTTGTACATTACAACAATTAGTGTATGTGATCCTTCCTTGTGAAACAGGAAAGGCAGATAGCACTACTACTAGTTCACAGATGAAGACATCTGGGCTCAGAATATTTCATGTCTTATAAAGAGACACCACAACAACTTTTAAGTCCGTATTCAGAAAAAAATATTAATAACAAAAGTGGTAAAACCAAAAATAACAATGCATCCAGATACTGCTTAAAGTCATTTCAATTATACTTTTACCAGTGAAGTTGGCTGTAGCTTTAAATCCATTTCTCACATGGAAAAACAATGGTCAAATAAGACTAAATAACTTTACAGAGAGATGTATCTATTAAATCATGGAGGTGGGGACTCAAGCCTATACTTTCTGACACCGAAACATATGTCAGAAAGCCTGGGTACCCACCACTCAACTTAATCCTGCTTTTACCTTGATCTCTATGTTGAGATGACCTCTGTGTTGATCTCTATGTAGATATGATGCACAACAATATACTGTGTAAATATATCATTTTGCTGTTATCATAAATATGACACATCTACCTGAGAAAGTGCATATGCACATGGAATTAAGAGACTTTTTTTCCATTAATGGTGATGAGCCACATCTACTAAGGTTATCTAGATCCTGTTCCAAACATTAGTTACATGTAGGATGCCCATTTGAGGATAGTTGTTGTGAATTTAACAGATCAACTAGTTGTATAAGATAACTAACTGGTTGTTAGCATACTCTGGTGCATACAGAGCATCAGAAATGACCCCAGCAGCCCCACAGAATTCCCAGAAGCCAGCTCTATTTCTTTTTCAAGCAAGCTGTTTGGAAGATTCTTGAGTGCAGTACCCTGCCTACTTCTCTGTGTCTCTTAACCACTGTATAAGATTGTAAACTTTCCAACAGACATTCACAATATGTGCCCAAATCATGTATATATGTAAACTCAATGATCTTTCAGATATTTACTATGCATGAATTTTATCTTAAATTTTATATATTTTTCTCAATAGCTGAAGCTTAAACACTCTGGCAAGAAAAGTAAACCAATAACTCATTCAAGCATTTGAATGCCTTCTCTACATAAGGACAGAAATTTAAGTAAGTAAATTACTGTACTTTACTTTTAGATGTTATAAGTCACTGAAAAACATGCAAGTTAATAGGCAAGAACCTCTTTTTACTGGTTGCTTGGATGATTGGTGGTTTGTTGGAAAGAGAATGAAGAGATAAGAGATTTAAAAAAGAATACAATTATTTTGTTCTTTTGCACACACACACACATATTTTGGCTTAGTTCCCAACCCCTTTGATATTTTATGTTCAATGTTGGACTCGACTGACATGAGAAACTCACTGTAGAGAGGCAGGTTTCCTCTGAGCTGCTGGTTTCCATGGTGCTGAATTGCCCATTTAAAAGTATGCACTGGTCCTTAGGTGCACACAGGGCTATAGGGTCCATGCCAGCCACAGGTCACACAAAGCCAGAAGGAGTAAGATATTTGTATTGCACATAAACAACACTAAGCCATGTAATTTTATTTTATGCATTTGGTTCCCATTTAGAAAAAAGAAATCTCATTATCTTATGGCATATATTTTAAAGTCAGTGAATCATATTGGTTGTATTCACTTTGAAAACTAACTTGAAATGGATGATTGTGATTGCTTGGAGCTTGGATAAACACTCAGATCTGTGAACAAATATGTCTTAAAACATCCTTTTTTGCCCCCTCCATGAATTCCTTTAGATTGGGGAAATATCAGAAAAGAAAAATGTTACCTTACATTTATTGTACAGGAAGGAGGAATATTGGCTAATGTAGTCATTTCTAGCATCCCTAGATGTTTCTCTTAGATATTGTGTAACACAAAGCAAAGCACCAATTAAGTTAATAAGCACTGGAAGTTGTCACACACACTCATTACTCATTTTGTATTGCCCACAAGATATATATATATATACATGTTTTTCTAACCGGAGTGAGTAGGGGTGATTGCATGCAGAAATAAAAATAGGATATTAAGCCAAGAACTTACTTTATATGAAAGATATTTTAGTTATAAATAGTAATGTTTTTTTAAAGAAATACTTCAGAACTCTTTTAGTAAAGTGTCTAAGTGACCCAATAAAATACACATTATCGTGATCCACAGTCTACAAAAACATAAGTCTGTAATAAAAGTTAGTATTTGGAATCTTTTCTTTCCTGGAAAAAATAGATTGCCTAGAGAGAGTGCGACTCAAAGTCGTCAATTTCTATTTTTTTTTTTTTTTCCTAAATGGGAGTGTTGTGACCCCCTGCCCCGAAAAAAACAAAAAACAAACAAAAAAAGGAGTAGGTTCTGAATTTTGTAAAGGGACTAGCTAATTGCAGATCAGAACCAGTACAGTTACTGAGAAATGTCAATTGCTTGGAAGCATCACTGTGTGAGTGCCTTGCACTATCCCTTGCATATTCCGCCAGTTCCTGGAAAGGGTGTGAGTTAGACATCCTCAGAGCTCAGGACTTCACCCATGCTGCCGAAAATGGGAGATGAGAGGAGCTGGAAGACCCACGTGGTGTTACGACTTTACCTGTGGATCTCTCTGTGACTGTGGCTCTAAGAAACACAATCGGTTGGGGAAGGAGGGGGCCAAATGAAACTGAGAGAGCAGAAAACGGGTGTAGTTTGAAAGGAAGGAGGTGAAGAGCTTGTCAACCCTCAAAACACAGAAGTTGCTCTACTCCTCCATAGACCAAATCCTGGTGGTGAGTACTGTACATTGAGGACCCTGAGTCCACACCCTTTCCCTTTTGCTCTCTTGGGGCTGCTTGGGGAGTCCCATAGTCAGCCTTCCAGTCTCATTGGATCTTCTTAGAGATGAAAGCCCAGAGACTTCCAGGGAGTTACCTGGACTGAGGACTGGATCAAGTAGGAGCGGGGCGAGGTCGGGGAAAGGCAAATTGGGTAGCACACGGAAAGCAACGTGTCTGATGTTGCCAACTGATGGTACTCCCTGAACCTTCAGCCAGAAGTCAGATCCAGACTCTGCACCACCTTAGTGGAACCCTTCGGACTTTGCAGACTCCTTGTGGAAGGATCCAACTTAGGAATGAAAACTTGGAGACTCGGGGCTAACAGGCTCTAGAATATTCCCACGTGCCTAGTGGTCCCAGTGTTCTCTTGAGATCCGGCATGCTTGCGAGGACCCAGAGCCCAGATTGCCAGGGCCGTGGGTCTGGACTGCCGGACGCCCATCCAGGAGGCTGGGGGAGCTCACTTCCGCGCCCAACTCAGTGGCTGCAGCCGCGTGCCATCCCTAGCCTAGAGTAGAGTGTCAGTCCCTGCGAGCCTGGATCCCTGCATTCCTGCCCGCGTTCCTGGATCCCAGATTGAAAACACCCGCCACCTGGTTCTCCTGGGGAAGCCCGGCACCCGCCAGGAGGGAAACAGTGACGCGTCTCCCCCCTTTTGTGGAGGCTCCCGTGCGCACTGACCTCCATGGTCCCCGGCTCTTGCCCCCGCGCCGGCGCGCGCTGCCTCGCCCGGGACCCGCTGCGCCCGCGTTGGCCGCGGGGAGCGACCACGTCCCCGGAGCCTGCAGCCTGGGGCGCTTTCGGGCTCACTTACCGATCCTGAGTACTTGCGGGGCGGTCTGGGGAAGGACGTAGCAGAAGAGATAGAGGAGCGCCCAGCTGGTGTCCCTGGTCCAGAGCCCGGGCTGGGCGAGGAGTGCGCCGCGCTCCATCTTCCTGGCTTCTTAATTCATGCCGAGACACAGCCGCTGCCGCACGCCCGCGAGATGCACCCCACTCGGGCCGGGTACCCGCCTCATCCTCCCTGGATGCTCCGGGTTCGGACTCTGCGCGCTCTCCTCCAGCCCCCCGGAGCAGGATCGAGGGAACCGCGTGGGAACGCGGAGCTGGCTGCAAGGCTGAGTTCGCTGGGGGCTCCCTGATGCTGTCGCTAGCCCATCACTGCTCCTCCTCCTCCTCCTCCATGGGCCGCAGACGGCGGAGGATCGGCGCGCTCCTGTTCCCCGAGCCCAGAGACTCGCCGAGGAAAGTTGCTGCCCCAATCTGCGGGAACGTCTTCCTCATTCGTCCTCTGGTCAGATGCAAAAGAGTGTGTGTGTGTG